TCTAATAAAATTTCCCTATTTTTTATTTTTTATAATTTATTAATTAATCTGTTATTTTATATATATAAATATATAAATACATATAAAATAATACAAAATACAAGGTTTTACACGCTACATATTTGTATTTGTACTCCTAAACTGAACCAAAAAAGACAAATTGATAAACAATTTAATCAAGTAAAAAAGATATGCAAGAGTCTGCTTTACATATTTTAGATTTTTTTAGAATTTTAAATATGATTTTTTTTGAAGAAGTTAAAATTCTTCCCATGCTGAAATAATTATCCCCTTACTACGCTAAAACTGGACCATTGATTAGGGGTGACCATGGGCTGGGCCAGGCCTCATGGAACTACACAACGGGGTAGCCCACCCCCATATCCATAACCCCTCAACCCTGGTCACAACGGGATTTGATCCCAAATCCCCATTACAACTAGCCAGAAAACATACCGTCTAAGCCACCATTAGTTTGGACCTCCATTGTGTCAAAGCAGTCGATCTCATGACTCATGTCCAATCTGGTTAAGTGGGATTGCAATAATTTTGGTACCTTAGAGGGAATCAATGAAAATTTCTTTTGCTTAAAGTGGATATGGCAATTTTCTCTGTAAAATCAAGGCTCCGCCCTGTCCTGAATAAGTCAAGTTTTTTTTGAAAAAATATTTTTGTCCTGAATTAGGGATGGGGTTTGCGTATAATTCCCTAAATTCATTCCAAATCCAATAATAAATTATTAAATATTTTTAAGTTTAATATTAATTTTTAAAATACCTTTAAATTTTTTCTTAAATTTAAAAAAAAACCTAAAATACTATAATCATATTTCTAAAATACTCCCAAATTTTAAAACAAATATTAAAATTAATGTGTTTTTAATTAATTTCTCAATGGTGGGAAAAATTATGGGATTCCCATCTCCAACGGAAGAAGGGTACCCTGCCCTGCCACTGGCGACGGACAGGGCAGAAGATTTTGTCTACGGCCCCTGCTGCCATTCCTATATAACCGGCTTGTATAATGGTGCGGATTGGTTGTTGTCATTTTTATTTTCTATAGCTTATAATTAAAAGTAGGCAATGAGATTTCAGTCCAATCCCATTGGTTCGCTCAATCTGCAATCAGATTTATCCTCATTCCTCAACCCAAAACTGTAGTAGTTAGAAAGCTATGAGCAGATCCAGACGATCTTGGTTTTCCTCGGAAAACAAAAGAATCCCGGTTTTCCCCGGAAAACAAAAGAACAACCTTGGCTTGCCTTGGAATCAGAATGTACATGTATGTGAATATGTGACTAGCCGTGGTTTTCAAAACTGGATTGGATCGGACGGTCGGACCGGAAAAACCGAGAACTCATCACCTGACCGGTTTTGTTTTTCTCTAAAACTGTTTTTTCCTCCAAAACCGTTGATTTTGGTCGGCAAACCGCTGAACCGGTCGATACCGTTCGAATCATTCAAACGGTTTTGACGATTTTCCAATTTTTTAATTTTTTAATTTTTTTATCAGAACGGACTGACCGTTTGAATTGAATGGTCGGACCGCTCGAACTAATAACCGGACCCCTGACCGGTTTGGTCACCGGTTCGTTTTTAAAAACCATGTGACCAGTATTCCTTATCTTGTACAACATGAGAAGTAGAGCTCGGCTGTCCAATGAACTTCTTCCTAATTTTCTTTTAATTTTCACTCTGGACACTCTTCACAAGATACTCGAGTTGAGGATGAACTGTAATATGTGATCGATCATAAATGCTGAAAGCTGGGAAAAGTGATTGGATGGGAAGTCGGAACCATTCAGGCTTCATTGTTCAGCCCATTGGCTCAGCCAACCACGGTCGGCAATGTACGTAGTTCTTTTGTGTGGGCATGTGGGACCGTGGCCAGTGAGACGGAGAGATCGGCTTCAGTCAATGCAAGGCCCCGTTCCAACATCATTCGAATAGCCTTTACAGCCTTACACCTAGAATATCTCCATACCTATGTATTTTATTTTATGGGACACACTCCCAATGCAAGGCGATAAAGGCTGTTTGAAAGGTAGAGCTGTTCATAGGTCAGGTTGGATCGGTTTACTGGCGTTTTTCCAACCGACCCGACCTAGTCGGTTTATCTAGAAATGAAACTGAAACCAACCTAGTACTAAGTAAAACCAATTTGGTCAGTTTGAATCGATTTGGGTCGGTTTTGTGAATGATTCTTTCGGTGTGAACGATAAAAGATTCAAGTCTAAGAAAGCAAAGGCTGGATGCCTGGAAATTAAAAATGATTTGATGGATTAAAACTGATATTTTATATATAATATGTATATTTCTGAAATATATTATATATATAATATATATCTAAGTTGGTTCGGGTCGGTTCGGTTTCGGTTTCGGTTTTCACACATGAAAATCGAAACCGAACCAAATCATTGATTTATGTTTTTTTGTAACCCGAAACTGACCGGTGCTGAAGAAAAATCGGCCAACTTGAGTTGGATCGGACCAGGTTGGTCGGTTTGATCGATTTGGGTCTTGTTATGAACAGCCCTATTGAAAGGGCCTTACACTGACTTGACTAAAGCCGAATTCTGAGATGGACAAATGAACAAATTTATCGAAGAGTGGGACAGATTTTGTCGAACTGTACTATCAATTTTATCATGAATTGGGACAAATCTAGATTAGTGTTTTTGGGCCAGCTAGTGTCACTTTGGTCTTCGAAATTTAAAATATGATAATTTAATATCCGTATCATTTTATTTTAGTATTTGTCATTAATCAATAGTTAAGTGAAATTTGAAAAAACATAAATGCCCTTTAAGTCTTATTTAATTCTCTTTATCAATTATATAAATATTGATAAAAATAAATATTTAGTCTTTTATTGAAGAAAGTTGGAGAAAGGCACTTGTGTCTTTTCAAATGCTATTTAATGACTGATTAATGGTTAATTAACAGCAAATATTATATTAATATATGCGTTTTAAAAGTTCAAACATTGAATGGTCGAGTTTTAAAGTTTAAAGACCAAAGTATCACTAGCCCAAAATACACAGGTACTAATCGCGAATTTTTATTCCTTAGGCTAGACTGAACTCAAACTACCCTAATCTTTTTTTTCGTCCTATGCTAAAATGAACTCAAATTACCCCTTCTATTTTTTTTTTTCGGATGATTGGCCTATCGGAATAAACTGTGAGACAAAAATATACACACCCGGCTGAAGTACCTATCACGGTTGAACACGCCGGTGCTCATTGTGAGCCTCATTTGGGACCAAGCTATACTGAACACCGGCGTGTTCAACCGTCATAGGTAACCAATTTCCCATGCATGTATTTTATACGGGCAACTTACATCACGTCCATGTGAGTCTGTTTTGGCTTCTACGTTGTAAAACCAAATAAAAGGATGGGCATTTTTGGTAGTTCCCTGGACAACTTATACGTACGGACAGTCGACGTTCGTTCCATTCAGAGCCGTAGAGTGGGGAGGATTTGCATCTGCCCCCCACAGACTTGCCCCCAAAAAGCATCCCACACAAACTATATGCGACACGCGCAATAGGCGCGACGCGTGCGAACTCCGTTTCACGCCGTTTCCAGCACTTCCGTTAATTCTTCTCGCGCCCAAAAGGGTTTCCAGCACCTCAGACCTAATCGATTTGCTTGGCGTCTGAGTTGATTGTATTATCTCTACATCACTACCTCTTGCCCCTTCGGTTCATGCTTTGCCTACACACTGGACGAGACCTCTTACAGGCTCCATTAAAATTCATTTTGATAGTACCACTTGTTGGGGGATTCTTCTCACTCACCTTAGCTTGTCTGAAGCTATCCAGTTTGCAATTTCTCTTGGTCTCTCGAATGCTACGTTTGAAGATGATGCAGAAATTATTGTAAAACTCTTGTTGGGGAATTCTTCTCACTCTCCTTGGAGCATTAATCTTAGGCTCATTTCTAGTTGCAGGTGCATTTTGTCGCATCACCCCAATTCCTTCTCAGTTACTTTTGTTCCAATTAAGATCTTACAATCAACTTTGATTGTTGAATGAATTAGTGTGGACATTTTTCCAAAAAAAAAAAAATCAACCGCCTGGGTTTAAAAAACACTATATATATATATATATAATATTTTTTTATTTTACTTCTTAAACAGCATTAGTTGCATAACAAGGTTACGTCGTCGAAGTTTTTGTGGGAAGTAGTTAGGAACTCGAACACTTATTAATCGAAACCGGTTTTTTTTTTGTTATTTTACTTTTTAAACAACATATATCTACTTACCTCCTGCCGGTATGGCCATCGGCGTCGACCCGCGGAATTCGACCCTTGGTACTGGAAATGGAGGTGCTATAAACCCTTTTGGGCGCCAAGGATTTAAGTTCGAAGTAGAATGGAAGAAGAAGAAACTCTTTTGAGAGAGAGAGGAATTAACGGAAGTGCTGGAAACGGCATGAAATGGAATCCGCACGCGTCGCACGTAGGTTTTGTGGGACGTTTCTGAGGGACAAGTCTGTGGGGGCAGATGCGAACCCGGGGAGGATGTCCGATGTCGTTTGTTTTAGCGTGTGGTCATCACTCATCACGCTCCTCTCCGCCAAGCCCAACAGTTCACATAGGCGGCTCACAGCACATCGTAACCATGGAATTCAGATTTACGCCCCACAACGTCACACAGAGCATGTGAGATCAGATGTATATGTGAGACGCCAATGTGAATTCAGTAAAAGAGTCGTTTATTTTATTTTATTTTTTATATAAAAATACTTTTTATTTATGTTATTACCTTTTTTGCTAAGATATTTATTTTATTATGAATTGGATAACAAATACGTTCCAATACCCTTCCAACATAATCTGACACCGCACATCTCAGGGTTCCAGATGAGTTTGAACTTTGAAGGGAGTTGGCGTTGGCGTTGGCGTTGGCGTTGGAACGACTCTTGTTAGCAGGAGATCCAACTCTTTATCTGTGGGTCCCAAGAAGGTAAGCTCACAATGATCACCTCCTGCATGGCCTATCCAATCTCCAATGGAGTCACTATTTATTTCTGAAATTTGCAGAAGCTCTCTCCCTCTCTCTCTCTTCGTGTATGGTTAATTAATTAGTTGCAGGCTTACAGCAATAGAAAGTTGCACTGCAACGTGCCCTCGGCCACCATGGCCATTGTTGCGAAGCTTCACATGTCTCCGCAGAGCCTGGGAGATTGCTATAGAATCGACCTCGGGCCAAGATTTCGACCTCTTTTTCACCGGAGTCCCGCGACATTAGATGCAATTCCACTTCGGGGGCAACCGAACGGCCGTCGCGGATTGTCTCTGCAAACATGCAGGTCGTTTAGATCCGATGGTGGAAGTGAGTCTGTAGAGAAAGAGGTTGGTGAGGTTAGCAAAGGTGGAGCTTCGGAGCAAACTCGGTTGCAGCCAAAGAAGAAAAGCAGGGCTTTGTACTCCTTGAAATCTTTCATTCTCAAGGTTTCTGGTTCTCGTCCACCATTACAAGGAGAGTATCGCGACGCAGTGGCAAAGGCAGAGGAGATTTTCTTCTCTGTGAGTTGTTTTCTTTATTTTCCTGATGAAGTTATTGCTTGGTAAATATCACTTCTTCTGGAGAAATTTGGTGAATTTCATAATTACTATGGTGGGTTCAAGCATTGGTGCTTATATGGTTGGGTGATACATCGTGCAAGCTTCAGTTTAAGCTCCCTTTTGTTTTACCGGAAAAGGGGCCGGAATTTTTGCAATGTGAAAATTTCAAGTTATATTTTTGCTCCTTTTACGTCAAAATCCTCTTTTTTCCTCCTCTTTTCTGGAAGCAAAAATAGCCTTTGAGTTGTTTGCAAATTTGATGTTTAATAGTTTGTCTTGTTGTTCCTTATATATTTTTGAACTGGATAGGTTGCCACCCAAGTTGGAAGCTATCTTGTAACCATGATGAGCACTGGAGTAGTACTCACAATTGGATTTCAGTTGTCAGGTTCCGAATTTTATACTTAATTTGTTCATTTTTATTTTATATTTTGGAGAAACCTTTTATTCTTGCATGCCAGACTTGCCAGTTTATAGTGTTGCTTTGTCCTCCATTGTTTTCTAACTTAATTGTAAAATATTATGAAGGCGGGGACTCTCAGATGAATACTTTGATTTGGTATAGCTGGCTTGGCGGAATTGTCATTGGAACAATGATAGGTGCTAATTTGGTTTTAGAAGAACATTGTAGAGCTGGTCCCCGGAATGTTGTCATAACTGGAAGGTACTAGTTGGGCGAGTTTGATAATGGATTTTATTAATTATGCATCTTTTTTTTTTCTATTTTTTTCTATTTTGTTCTTTTTTCAACATTTAGCTTCACTGTAAACCTAGTTGTTCATTGCTCATCAATTTAAAATAAATATTGTGAATAGGAAAAGTAGAAATTTTGTTTGCATTTATGAGTGGTGATTTCTTTTTCTGTCAGTCATCTCCTCTGTATCCATTCTTTTGTGCAACAATTATGGGTTTCTGAAACTATAACCATGAAATTTTATTCTTGATTCTAAGACCATCTTGAACACTGGACAACTATGTACCAAAAACAATAACTCTTGGTGGATGATTTAGAGAAAATATAATTCTGTCACATTGATTGCATTGTTTACATTTTCTAACACAGTACAAGAGGACTGGGTAAAGCGCTTGCTCGGGAGTTTCTTCTTTCAGGAGATCGCGTTGTTGTTGCTTCCCGCAGGTGGTATCCAGGATTTTGGTGTCCTTACATCATGTGCCTTTGTAATCATGATATGTTGCTTGTGGTATTTGTTCACTAACATCTTTATATTCCTATTTGGATCTTCTGGAAGCAGCCCTGAGTCAGTACATAGGACTGTGACAGAACTCAAAGAGAACCTAAAGGATGGGATGCTAACAGGAAGCCACACATCCAGAGAGAATATGAAATATGCGAAGGTGGTTGGAATTGACTGTGATGTCTGCAATCCTGATGATGTGAGAAAGTTGGCCAACTTTGCTGTCAGTGAGCTTGGTCCCATAGACATTTGGGTGAGTGGTACACTTTCTTTTAATTGTATTGATAAATAACTTAACTTTTATTAAAAAGACAAGCAGATGCAAAGGAGCAAAGGAGCAAGGGGAGGGATAAAATATCTTAACCTTCCCCAAGAACAAAACACAGATTACAACTTTGCCCAAAGTAGACTGTCTCTTCCCACCCCTTGTTTAGCAAGTGTATCCACAAAGGAATTTGCACTTCTCCTAATTCACTGTAGCTTTTTCTCCATGTCCTGGGTCAGCCATTTAAACTTCTTTTCTCATTTGCAAACTTCCAAATCCCATTCTCTTCTTTTTGAAGCCAGCCTATAACCTGCATTGAGTAACCTTCTACAACCAATTTTCTGATATTTAACTCCTTTGCTCTTTTTATCCCCTCCAAAAGGCGTGAATACAGAGCAATAATTTTCCCTTCCCCATCCCTAAATACTCCCCTTATACCTGAAGGGCCTGTATTACCTTCACAGCTTCCATAAAAATTCAACTTAGTGAAACCAACAGCTGGAGGGGACCAAAGCGGACTAGTCACAATTTTGAAGGAAGCTGAAAAAGGCACTTCCGATTTTGAGATAAACCACCTGCTGAAATACCTTCAAAGAGCTTCGTAGACTTGACCCAATGAACCACCCTAACAGTTTTGGTTTCAATGATGGCATCCCTACTTTCTTTTTTCAGAGAAAATTCTTTGATTGCTTTCTTCCCAAACTGTCCAACAAACAACAGCTGCTCTTGCACATCTCCACAGTATTCCACCTCTCTTCTCTGACCCTCTAACAGAAAACGGAGCAAACTAGCTCTGTACATTTGGTGGGGGTGTCCATCATTAACTTTACAAAGGTAGACTTTTAAATCGTTTGGCATCATTCTATCTCCGGTTAGAGATCAAAAGAAAACATTTATCCCAATCACACTCACTCTATCCTGGTAAAACCATGAAGATTGAAACTATAGTAAGACACAGAGGTCCCTTTTGTATGCATGATTTGCCACATGGGCTTTGGCTTTATCATGTTATTGATGCATATATTTCTGGATGTCACTTGACAGATTAACAATGCTGGCACAAATAAAGGTTTCAAGCCCTTGTTGCAGTTCACAAATGAAGACATTGAAGAGGTTCGCATTTTTCTCGTGCTTTGATGTATATTCTTGTTTTGGGTTTTTGACGTGAAAGTTGAGAAGTTCATTTAAAGGATTTACACAAAACATGATTTCTTAGTCTCCAAAACTAGTATCAAGCATTGCCTCAAATGGTTAGTTGGTCTATTCTGAAATTAGCCATTAATTACTCGAGCATTACAAGATATTAACTTACAACAAATTCGTGTGTTTGAGACAAGGATGGTAGTTTTAAACATGAAGCACAAGAATTAAAGAGTTATTAAATGATGTTTGAAAATATGATTAAACTTTAATTGCCCTATAAAAAGATTCCCGGGTCCTTGAAAGCAGCCTGCAGTAACATTTTCCTATTCTTTGATGATATGCAAGACTATGCTTTGTAAAGCTGTAAACATGTCAGAACTCAGAATTAGGTTATATCTAAATACATCCTGAACCAATCAGATTTTATGTTTCAGAATGCAAGTTGAATCCAGTCTGTCGGTTTGTACCAGACGCAGTCTGGATTCTGCTAATCTTTAGCAAAATGTCACATATGGGTTATGAATCTACGATATTTTAGTTACGAGTACAACATATTAAACCTTCTTGGTAATAATTGTTATTTATCTATCTGTCTACCTGCATGTGTGTCTGTGTATTTATGAATCTTAATCAGGACAGATCAGGGACAGAATGAGAATTCCCCATCACATACCTGTTACTTTTTACTTGTTGAGGTGTCTTGCTTGGATTTTTTTTAACTGACATTACCAACCACAATGTGATTCTCTAAACAGATTGTCTCGACAAACTTGACTGGATCTTTAATATGCACAAGAGAAGCCATGCATGTTATGAGTTCTCAGGAGAAGGGGGGACACATATTTAATATGGATGGTGCTGGTTCAGGAGGATCTAGCACCCCTTTGACAGCTGTGTAAGTAACATTTCTGCCATTTTCTTGTGAAGAGATTTCTTTCCTGTTCTTTTATGCAGACACTGAAGTTCTACCTGTAGTTTTCTTTGTCCTTGTTTAGTGAGACGTTGGAGTTCTCCTTATTTCTCATGGAAGTTTTTTGTTAACAATGCTGATATTTTTATATCACCTGACTAGCTATGGTGCAACAAAGTGTGGTCTGAGACAGTTTCAAGCATCACTCCTAAAAGAGTTTAAGTGGTCTAAGATAGGAGTACATACGGCATCCCCAGGCATGGTCCTCACAGATTTGCTTCTGAGGTATCTTGATACTTGCCCTATTTTCTGCTTGAATATGGTTGTAATATTTTCTGTTATATTGGTTATCTAGAATCTTCAGTTGGAACTTGGAACTGGTTATTCAATCTACATCAAGTGTTAAAATTTCAAAATTCAGAGTTGTTGAATTTCCAGTTGACTTAAAATGCCATTTAGTTCTTTGATTTGTCAACAGTAAACTGTTCCTAAAGTTTGTTGTCAATGTCATACCTTGTTATGGGCCCGGGCGTAGGATCTCGTCACGGGTCGGTCCACGGGGAAAAGCTCCTGTTTTCCCTTGTTCCTCCCCTTCCTAGCTGAATCTATCTTGGCGTCCTAGAGGGTGATTTGTCCAAGAGATCACCGAACTCTCCTTTTACTCTCTTTCTTGACTGGAAAT